CGTGGGAAGACTGGCCCTTCAGGAGAGATGCAGCGGGTAGGAAAACATCTGTGAGGGAGTCCCTGAACGTCAGGCATGCCTTTGCCCCAAAGATGAATACCTGGCTGGTTCTCAGGCTAACAAGCAGAGACACGTCTGACATTACATTCTATAAAATAAAAATATGGGTTTATTAATAATTTTATCAACTCAGCTGTGATGGTTAATTTTTTTTTTTTTTTTTGAGAGATGGGACTTCACTCTTTTGCCCAGGCTGGAATGCAGTTGCATCATCATAGCTCACTGTAGCCTCAAACTCCTGGACTCAAGCCATCCTCCCTCCTCAGCCTCCTGAGTAGCAGGACTACAGGCACATGCCACTGCATCTGGCAAATGATGGTTAGTTTTATGTGTCAACTTGACTGAACCATGGGGTGCCCAGAACCCTGAGCAATAATATTGATCATTTTATTAAATGTTCATTATGGCACAATTGATACAGATACAAATATTAATCTAATTTATTCTCTTACTACATCTTTGGGGGAATTATAAAGAATGATTTTGCTAAAGTAAAAAAAAAACAATCTGTAGTTGTTTCTGGAAATAAATAAGACTCATGACTCACATATTAATTTTTACTCACCTATCTTGTATTGTGTATCCTGAGAAACCCTCACTTTCATGTGGAAAGCAGAATCTTTTTGCCTTCTGCATCACTGTGTGGATCTGAAAGAGTTTCTAGTTGTTGTTGTAAGAATTCTTGAGGCACATTAGGTGGGCCTCATTACTAACATCTCGCTGGATTTGTTATCTGAGTTTTGTCAGTGAGATGTTATCATCGTGACAATGCAGAGGCCACCAAAAGACCCCCTGGCTAGACAGCCTGAATAAACACCTGAGTAAACAGCACAGCTTCACGTGGCCTAGTGTCGCTTAGCATGGCATCCAAAGAAACACAGTCTAGCTTCCAAAAGCAATCAGAGTCACTCACATCTTTAACTGTGTTTCTGAAAGAACTTTTATCTTCTAGTGATTGTACAGTTTTACTTTACGATTCAGTTCACAGCCTGTGGAAACCTTTGTGGGGCTCTCTTCCTCTCTGGTGTCCCCAAGCACGAAGGAATCAAGGGCTTCTCCTTTCAAGGCTCCCTCTCCCCCTTCTCCTCAGAGCTCTTCTCTTGGGCTCAGCGCTGGTCTCGGGGCTCCTACCCACCGCCCTTCACCCTTCCGCTCCTGTCTGTATCCTATCCGTTGGCCCAACTCCACCTCATCGCAACCTTGGAAACTGGGCCGGCAACAAAGGAAGGTCACTTGTGAATTCGGGCAGAGGAAGAAGTTGAGGTGACAAAATGTAAATCTTCTTCCAGATGGAATCCTGAAACACTGATCTTTTATTCCTCTCTGTGCCACACTGAGAGGTGGCATGGGGCAGGGAGGTCACCTGCAGTAGGAGTCATGTCAGCTGTTGCCTCAAGACCCTGGGCAGTGTCTCTTCCCTCCACAGTCGCCTGCACGGGGGTGTGGATTGCCCATTGGACAACAGGGGCACATCTCTGCGGCTTTGCCAAGCGCTGTCCAAACTCTCTAGTGTGGATGCGAATCCTTTCAATGACCCCAGACACTCGAACTCCTCATCCCACATACAGACAGATGATGTTGACTCTTGACAGCCAGAGGGCCGTGATAGAGTGGAAAGAAAAGTCCCTATGTCGGTGCGGGGTTACTGGCTCATTCTGTCTTCCAGAACAACAGTGTGGGATGGGCAGGGTAAGTATGAATATTACTATTCTCATTTTATAGCCCATCAGGCTTGGCATTTCTGTTAAATGTTAGTGAGTGCTTCAGAGCAGTAGGGAGAGTTGTTCAGACTAATTGTAATTATATTAACTCACATTAAGCATCCTGGGTATTTTTTCCATTTTTATATTTTAAAAAGGACATCTTAAGATATGAAATAAACATGTTATTTTTTTTCCACTAGAAATCATGCAGTGCATCTTTTACAAAGGAAAACATTGAATTTATAAGCATATTTATACTGTAATCATTTCCTGTGATTACTTTCATTTTTATGCTAATATAACTAGAATTTATGTATTACATTTTTTTCCATAGTGCATCTATTCTGATAAATACAGGAGAACAAAAAACACCCAAAAACATCTTTTGAGAAGGGCCATAAATACACCTTTTTATCGTCCTTAAGAGCAAAGCATTTTATTCTCCCTTCTCTCTCTGACTTCATTAAAAACAATCTGTAATATTTATAGATATGACATAGATTTAGAAATAAATTTATTTACAGGAAAAATGTAGATACGAGCCCTAATTCACTAAAAACAAGTCATTCATCAGTTCCTATGAATCCTCCAAATCCGCAGCCTCTTCAATTACATGACCTGACCTTTACTTGTTCTGGGAGACTTTGGAGGACCATTATGCTGATTGCAAACCCACCTCTCTGTGAGCTGATTGCGGGAATGGCACAAATTGCCTTCGAGCAACCAACAGGTGTATCAGGGAGCCATTCAAATGCATGAGCCTTGAAACCTGGGGGATATATCTGGGTTAAATGAAGAAGAGGCCTGGCCACAACGGCTCAGACGTCCACATCTTGGGTGCTGGCCAGATAGAGTTTCTGTAGACGCCCCCGTGGCTTCTGAGACAATGGGGCGGGGACACACACTAAAGGCAGGTCTGCATCCTGTTGAGCAGGCGGGACTAAGCCCACACTTGCTCAGCATTGCTGTTTTTCCCACTTAAAGTTTTACTTTAATAATTGCGTTTGAATTTCTTCTGACGAGGAAAAACAAATGGAATTGAAATCTGTGTCGGCGTCCGCTGTCCCCACTGGAGGGGCCCGGGGACCCTCCGGTTCTAGGTGTATACGGAGAGCAGCCACCTCAGGAAGCTTAGTTTCCTTCACTTTTTTTTTTTTTTTTCAATGTATTGGAAGTAGATAGAATAGGGAAAAGCCTAAGGTTGATAAGGATTTCTGGCAGGAGAACTGGCATTGCGCCGTACTTGAGAGGCCAGCAGGGCCACCCCACCTGCCGCCCAGACTCAGGTGCCAGCCTCCTCCGGGTGCTCCAGACCCCGTGGCCTGTGTCCGCCCTGAAGCTCCTTGGGACTGAGGCCGGCGCTGCTCGGCTGGTGCCTGACCACACGCTTTCCAGCACTGCTCCCTAGAGCCCATTTCAGTTTTCCTTCTCCAGGGGTCCTGACTTACAGCCCTGCTGCGCCCACCCCCAGCCTGGACCAGCACTGAATCCATGGCAGAAGCACAGCAGGGACTTGCTGATTAGCTGACCGCCAAAGCCCTTTGGTCTCAAAGTGCTTTGGCATCTGGAATGTGGATCTTATTTTGAAAATATTACACAACATGTACATCATTCCTCTCTGATGTAAGTCGTGTTCTCTGATAGCCATTGTAGCTCTAGGGAAGCGGGTGGGTGATGCCCTTAGAAGGGAGCGGATATGACCAGAGCTGCTGCTGGCCCTTACAGTGCCTCTGTGCAAATGTAGAAAAGGATCCTCTTACTCTAAGTAGATAGAGCCCAGTGCCAGGGCTCATGTCTGGGTAAGCAGAGGGCAGGCTGAATGTCAAGTACGACCTATCTCACTGGGGCATTCTTGTGCAGGCCACGGTCTGGACAACTGTACATGGTGGCCCTTTTGTGACAAGGGCTAACCTTGGCTAACCTGAGAGAGAAAAAAAGAAATCTCATTCCTCTGGTCCTCAGTGGATTGTGGGGAGAAGAAAGAGATGGAGGTAAGAGAAGCATGAATTATGAGTCCTGCCCTTTCCCCTTCAGAGAAATCCCCGAGGGGTGACACATTATGGATAAGTTTAGGGGAAAGCCTAAAGACAGGGACACTTACCCCACTCCTATGTGGGACTCCAGGAGGACGCCTCCTTGTAGCAGTGCCCTGTGCTACCCACACAGTGATGTCACAGTGTGGCTGGGCGGAGAGGAAGACTGCGCTAGCACGCCTCTGCTTTGTGTGGTGTTGCAGTGACCTGAACGTCCTTCGTGGTCTGCGGAGGAGTGTATGGGGACTGCGAGTGTAGCTGGGAAGCCTGCCAGAGGGAGGCAGCACAGCAGGGACATAGTGCCTGTGGCAAGGAGTACAGAGTGCCTTCTAGGGTGGGCATAAATGGCAGTCACAGCCAAACCTCAGCAAGTCCTAATGCCAGGAGATTCTTGGGATGTTCAGAGAGCAGAGGGAGTGGGGTGCTGCACCCTGATCGAGCTGAGAGATCTGATGCCTGTTCATGAGCCCCCGGGCCATGAACCCCTGGGCCAGCAGGGCCCAGCAGCCTGGGCAGAGGGACCTGGCAGTGGGTGGACAGGGCTGAGGCCTGCAAACACAGCTCGGAGGCCCTCTTCTCTCCTGCCCCTCGGAGGCAATGTATCCTCCCTAGGTTCTCTGGATGTAACCCCTGAAAAAATAGGAAATCTGAAAGAATAGCATTCATCCAAAGACAGTGTTTAAATTATTGACAAGACCATGTTAATTGGGCTGGAATTTCACGTCGTCCCCCTTACGCAGTGGGGTAGAGGCTTATAACAAAGACCAGATCAGCTCTAGGAGCTAACAAAGCTCTATTTTTTCTTATCTGTGTTTATGGAACTGCCCCCAGACTTCACTCTCACTCCATACCCTCCTGGGCAGCCACCCTGTGACATGGTGGACAGACAAAGCTGAGGGTCTTGTGATGTGGTTGGTGGTGAAGGCCAAACATCTGGGTGGTGGTGAAGCTTGGACTGGAAGCCAGGCCTTTTTGTCCAAGCCTCTTCTCTAGACTGTCCCTCAAAGGCCGTGGATAGGCTGACGCCAACCTGGGAAGACATTTTGACCCATCTGTCTCTGGCTAGGTTTCCAAGAAGTCGACCCTGAGACAAGGATTTATGTGCAAGTGAAATATTCAGGAATGGCTCCCTGGAGAAACCAGTGAGGGAGTGGGGGAAATAGGACAAGGGTGGGAAGGAAGCCAAGTGCCGGCAGGACTCCAGCGGAAATCCCGGGCTCAGCCAGAGCACGCTGGGAGCTCTGGAGCTCAATGACCCCTCAGAAGTTGACCTCTGAGGAGGGGCGGGGCTTTCATCCTCAAGCACTGTCAGTCAGGCCATAGGCCTGGAAGCCCAAGGGCCATCATCTGAGGAAGTTGCTGGAGGAAGCAATCAGACGCTAAGCTAAGCCCAGAAGCTCTAGGATGGCTCAGAGAACCAGTAAGAGGGATCTGAGATCTGGGCACGCCATGGGAGCCCCTGACACTCTCTCCTTCTCCCTCTCTCCCTCTGTTGTTTAAGGTTACCAACCACCGTCTTTCTTGGAAAGAATAGTCCTTTATTCTGAGATTATGTTCTTTCTACTTTTTTGGCATTAAAGTGTTGCTCATTTTATAAAGAACTGGTCACAGTGGATAATAAGACTTGATATTGTTTTAAAGTCTGACTTGGCAAAATGAATGTAGGTAACTGTCTCTTAGTTCCTCAACCTTTTTTGTTTTTGTTTTTTGACATATTACTGGTCTGTGAAACCCCAAAAGTCTGGGAACCACCGTATTTGTCCATGTGGCTTCTTCTTTTGATTGGTTTCCAAAGTAGTTCCTAACCATTCTCTCTGTGCTTTAAACTGAAATAGACAACTAAAACAATAAAGAGTTTGTAATCCAGCTCAGTGATAATTGTGTAAACACTGCTTTGCCTCCCAGGGGGACCTCTGCAGCCATTGGCAGTGTGCACTTTCTCATGCAACTTGAAGGCAGGAGGAGGGTGTGTGTGGGTGAGGGGAAAGCTGACCAGAAGGACTGTCACGAGAGCCATGCTTGCCTCATCTCTCCTCTGTGGACCCTCAGTGGGGCAGGACTGGCTGCAGTGGTAGGTGGGAGGGAATTGTCCTTCCAATCTCATCAAGAAAGTCCCAGAAACCACTGCATGTGAGTGTGTATGTGAATGGGCAACCCAGAGAATGATCAGAAAGGACAATAGTGGTGAGAGTCCAGTTAAATGAGAAAATCAGAAGTTACTCCATCTATGATTTGTTCCTGTTCAAAGAAGCAAGTTGCATCAGCTTAATATTCTCCCTCCCTAGTGACAAATTCTTAGAGCTGACAGTTTTTTTTTTTTCCCTCTACTTTACCAAGAATGGCTGGGTTTTCCATTTGGATAAAGCTTCATGCATTTCTCATCTGCCAGCTGAAAACTGAAAACAGGAAAACTCTGTTCGTTGGAGCAGTTTCTGGAGCAGAGGAATAGTTTCGGTTGATCAAAATAGTTTATAGTGCCTGATGGTTTTCCCTCTGAACTTTAAGAATCAAAGATCTATTTGTGTAAAGGAATATGGCTGATCATTGTATTTAATTTTATGCTGTTGACTCTTGAAAAATGCATGGCAACCAATGAAAGTTATTCTCATAGTCTCATTTTAATGATTTGAAGTTAATCAAAATGTATATTTTGATTCCATATGATCTTATAGAAAATTTTATTTAAAATTATGGTTTTTAATACAATGAGATGTCTAGGATCAATTTAACAGATTATTATATTCAGCTAATATTTATTCAGAACCAAGTATGTGCCAGGCACAGCTCTAGGTGCTAGGGATAGAGCAGTGAGCAAAGCAGTTAAAGCTGTTGCTTTAATTGTCATGGCGTTAAGCAAACACTTCCTGATTGCTTTAGAAATAAAGTATTTTCATGGGGGCAATCTAATATTTTATGATGTAAAAATTAAAATTTAATAACAAATATTCAATTGCTTTTATTTTGTCCCTGAAGTAAAAGTTGAAAAAGTTGAAAAAGATCCCACTTTCATATAGGTGTTTAATAGATTAAATCTTCACTCAAAATAAGTAATGCATTTAAATAGAAAATAATTTTTTAAATTCACCCATTCCTAAATCTATAAGATTTAAATGGCTTAAGAGGTAGCGAAAGAACCGGGATTTCATCGGCCAGACAACAGCAAGGAAACCATGTAGATGAAAAGCCCTGATTTCCTTTTCTGAGAGCAAGAGTGACTTGTGGATTTTCTAGATGATTGTCTCAATTCTCTACCTTTAAAGATAAGCCAGGAGAACATGAATTTATTTAGTGTTGCTTAGTTCTCCAGATTCTTTAACAGGGTAGAGAGATTTACCTTTAATTGCATCAAATCACCAAACCAGGAAGTGTGACTCTGTTGAGGTTTGTGGTGCTGAAATCTAGTAAAGCCCCAAAGAGTGTTTCTTGTCAGGGATACAGGGCCAGCAAGTGATCAATAGAGAACGGCCACGGGAGGCTCATTGGAGCAAGTGACCCACTGGAGTGCGACATGCACCTTGCTACATCAGACCCATGATGCAGCTCTTTCTGCCCAAAAGTATATTACTCTGCTGTATTATTTTATCACATGATGCCAACAAAGGGTCTTTCTGTTAAATTTTAGAGAGAACCAAATTCAGCCTATAGAAGCCCTTTTAAATACATGTGGAGTTTTATAAAAATAATAATGCTTCCCTAGCCCAAGTGTTCATTAGTGATTTAAAAAAAATTAACCTCATAGTTACTTGTGAAGTTTCTTTTTAGGTCCTAAAATTTAATTTAATAATTGCATTTATTGTACATTTTCCATGTACCAGATATTTCCCCAAGTACTTTATAGGCATTATCTCATTTAATCTTTATAAAAGCCTGTAATGGAAGTTTTACAGATGAGTTAATTGAGGATTTGGGGAGGTTAAGCAAAATGCTCAGTCACCTGGGTAGTAAAGGGGAAAGTGAGGATTTGGGATCAGGTTTGTTTGAGCTCAAAGTCCACATTAGCAGCTTCACTCTTCTCTCCTACAACCCGATGCGACACTGATGCTACCAGAAATTAAGTCAAATTCCAGGATCATAAGCCAATTTCTGGTAACTTCAAGAAAATGATGGGAATCTTTCCTAGAGTCGTTTCCCTAAATTCCTTTCCCATCCCACCCCTATGGCATAATGGCACGATTGTGCCCACAGAGTGGATTTCTCAGTCAAGTAAACACTCACCTAGCCAGCTGGAACCCACACCGAGAAGGTTCCTCGTACAAATAAACACTCACTATTTATAATATTAATTACCCTGTGCAGTACAATTCTTTTAGGAAAATGTATGATGTGTACTCAAAAAAGCAATTTTTCCACACAATCTTGTTAATCAAAAATGTTGGCAAGATATCATAAGAACATCATAAGCCTTGTAAGAAAAATAAAAATACAATTGAAATTAAAATATTCATTTCAGAGATGTCTTTGATTCTTAATAATCATTCCTCCTTCAGCATCAGGATGGCTTTGTTTCTGATGAGGATGGTGCTATTCAGTCTCCAAATGCTATTCTTTAGCTAGATGTTCTAAGAGACTCTATAATTTGAAAATAACATCGTGAGGAAAGAAAGAAGCACACATCTCATTTTATGTTTTGCATACCTGTGTATTTAGAAGGTTTTTTAAAGAGTGGATATTTAAAAATAAGTTTAGAATTTCTGAGGCAAAAAGTTTTTAGTATTTAAATATTTTTAGGGGAAAATTGAGTTCAGTGTTAAGACAGATGTAGAAAAGGGAAAACAAAATTGAATTCTTATTTTTCAACTAACACAAGATTCAAACTACCTAAATATTTATAAGCCACTGTTGATATTTTTATAGTTGGTCATCTTCAAATTTCAAAACTATGTAGATTTAGAGAATAATATGTTGTTAAACAATAATTTGCATGTAAGCACTTGCCTATATCATATATATTAAAATGTTTTCAGCAAAGATACTTGTATCTAAAATTTAATTAGAAAACATGTATTGTTTTTTTTTTAAAAAATCCTTGGGCTAATGGCTCCTAGGTGTGGGCCCAAGGCTGCTGTCAACTCTCTGTGGCCTCAGGTTTGTCATGCAACCTCTCAGAACCTCATATCTAAAGCGATATCTAAAGTGATGAGCTAGACCTAAATGTGAGTCACAACCCAATAGTAGGTTGAGAAATCAAGTTAGTGCATCAAAACCAGTGATAAAAAATAACAAATTAAACAGAATGGAATTAAAGAGTAGAAAGTATCATTGCATCATGCCTAGGAGGAAAAAAACATCATTTTATGTAAGTAATGTTTCAGATGCCACACACATGTAGTGCACTGGGTTATGATGTAAAATTTATTTCATTCTGTAGGTCACAGTCAAAATGCTGAGATATGCTGAGAAATGCTGAGATAGATGATATATCTAGGTGCCCTCCAGCTCTGCCATTCCTTAGGCTTTTTGTATGAGTGGTGTTGTGGCGAGACTGCAAACTATCCACCATCATTCATGACCCCCTTGCATATTATGAAGTGGCTGTGCACCTAGGGACTGTAACTCCAAGCTCCTCCTGTAAGCAGTTGGGACCATGCGATGGCTTCTTGCCGATGGAGTGTAAGCATAATCACTGCCAGGAGGAAGTGGTTCAGGAGAGTGCCTCGCTCTCTTCTTCCCTTTCTGTTGGCTCCATGCAGACAAATTTAACGACCTTGGGGGCTCTGGGTTGAAGATGGTGGAGCCAGAAGGTGGCACTGGCCTGGTACTTCAAACACGACGTAGAGAACCGCCTCTGCCCTTCATGAATGCCTGTTTTGGTCTTCACATGAGCAAGGAGCAAACTTCTCTTGTATTTCAGCTGTGACACATGTTGGAGCACCTGCTTGTCATGCCAGTGCTCCTAACCCGGAGACACCCAGCAGCCGGAGAGAGTGCTCCGGAGGCAACACGTCACACAGCGCCGGGTTGGCACGTGGGGGGTCCTACCTCACCGCGAAGAGGTCCTGTATGCTGGTCCTACATGTTAAGAGGTGCGAGAACATGTGTCCAGTAGGTTTGCCTTTTGATAATCCTCTTGACCAAAACTCTCAGGAGGATAGGCAGAAACTGCTCCTGCTGCCATGATAGCCTCTGAATAGCAACTAGGAAAATAATTAGAAAAATTAAAAATAACATATTCCGTAACTTAGACAAAATCATAGTGGTTTTCATCTTAAAATAGCTTACTCTGTTTCTCTTTTCTGAAGTCCTATTTCGTGTTTCTCTGATCCTTTGTAGTTTACAGAGTACTTTTCATATAAAATGTCACTGGATTCTACCAACAACCCCGGTGGGGGGGGGGGGGAAGCAAGAATTAATCGCCCCATCTTACGGATGAGAAAGTAAATGTTTTGTGAGATGTAGTGTTTTAAAGTTGATATCAGGAATAGCAGAGCCAGCACCCCAATTCCACAATTTTAAAGTCCAAATCTGTTTCTCTCCTAAGCTTCCAAAAAGCTGAGTCTTATTTGCTGGCGTATTTCCAGCACCAGCCTGGTCGGTAATAAAGGTCTAACGAATGGAGATCTCTTTCTGCTTCTCCTGGTTGGTCTCAAGCCCCTGCTGTCTTTGCTGCAGGAAGATGCCTACTTTTTTTCATCCAGTGATGGGGCAGTAACAGTGGACCTGAGCTTCGAGTCAATTAACGTGGTATGAGAAAGTGAAAAACGGAGTGGTTCACATTCTGCTGATTTTTTAAAAAAGTACTTTGGAATTTAATGAAATTTAAACATTTTGCAAGGTTTTCCAGGGAATTCTTACAATTCCAAGGGAATTCTTATAAGAATTACAACACTTATTTTAAGCAATATAATGACAATACATACAGCATTGTTAAGCATTAAATGACATAAAAATATCCACAACCATTTTTGTCTGCTTGACTATAGGATAATATCCTAAAAACAAAAAAGAACAATATGCACCTAGACTTTCAGGGGGGAAAAAAAGTCCTCATCAATGAAGCATCAAACCATAAGTGGATGAATGAGCTCTGTTTTACTTGTTTTTTTTTTTTTTTTTTGGTAGTCTTGGTTACGCTTTTAGAAGTGGTTGCTGAAGAAAAACAGAAGAGCTTTTGATTTTACCAGTTGAAAGAACTTTTCCAGAAGTCACAAAACGATTAAATACTGGGCCCCACATAACTATTTCAGAAATGGTATTTTTGTAGCTATGTATAAATAAAACCATTTCCAAAGCAGAGGTCTCTGTAGGAAATTTTGGACCAATGTTTCCATTATTAAATATGTCTATGAGCTAAAAAGTTTCCTAGATCCAAACCGGCCTGTCTGGTTATTTTTGGACACCGTGAAGTCTCCAGCTTGGAGGGAAAACGTCTGCAGTGCTCTGTGGTATCCGAGGCACCACAGCGCGACGGAGGGATGGGCCTCTTCTGACAGTCTGGAGCTGCCACAGCCGGCCTTCGTCTCTGCACACATCTTGTGGGGGACGAACCGAAACAGTCACTGGATCCATTCCTGAGAGCATGATCCGGGCTCGTCTGAAAATTTGATAGCTAGAACTGGAGGTAACCCAGTCAACCGCCACAGGAAGGGTCTAGGGGTCTGAAAAGGATGGCCAAAGGCCCCGAGCTTCTTGCAAATGTCATTATAATTGGGACATCTCACTTAAACTTGCTCATGAAGAGAAATGCCTTTCATTGTAGAGCTAATCTAATTTGGTGATCAGCCCAACATGTGTGAAAATGCTCTGCTCTGTTCCCACAGCTAATGGAGTATTCTAGAATCACTTATTTTGTGTGTGTGTGCTAAAAGTCACCTCCAAATATTAGGGAGGGAGAGGGGCATTCTTTCATTTAGTGACTCTAATGTCTACATTGTTCTCATGTTGGGAACTATGGGTCCACGGGGGTCTGGGAATTCTCTCTAAGAGATAAAATCTGGAATTAAATAGAAAGAAATTGGCACCCTAATCAACATATGTCGAAATGGTCTTAATATTCAATACTTAAAGAGGTAGGAAATAGTACTACTCGGAAACCATCTTAGAAGTGCAGATGAAAGAGTTAAGCTCCTGGCCGTGCACGTACATAATGCGGCTCCCAGCGCAGCGCACTGTTTAATGAAAATCCCTTGCTGGAGAGCCGACTCCATTAGGAAAAGTTCGCCTCAGACACAAGTGTTTACCAGGGCACATTACATGTTCATTGCAATGATTAGAGGAAAATGGTTTTATAGACATGGAATTGCTGCAGGGGAAAAAAAAAAGCCAACATTAGCCTCTTCCTCTGTGCAAGGCTTTATATTTTCCTATAAATGTGAGTAGAAAGAAATACCTATTAGTAATTCTTTTGTGGGGGAGAAAAAAACTATTCAACCTTCACAAGGATTCTGAAGCTAAGAGAACCATGATGGATACAGTACGTAGGCTGGTTGATTATTCATTCATTAAAAACAATTGTGGAATACTTTCTAGGACAAAGGCTAAGGGGATATAGAAATACATTTCAAAATTCCTGCCGTTAAAGAATTTACAACATAGAAAGCGAAATAGTAGTGACCACAAATACCTATAAAATCAGGCACAATGAAAGAGGAGATGTGAGACATAACAGCAGCAGAAGAGGGGGGAGGAATAATGTTGGAGTTGAAGGAGGCTTTAAGAAGGAGGTGACATCTGAGCTGGGCTTGGCAGGATGAGCAGGATTTCAGAAGGGGAATTGCAGGGAGGGAGAAAGGCATTCCTTACAGAAGAAACTAGAAGTAAAAGCACCCTTAGGGAGGCCGTGAGGGTGTGTTTTGGGAACAGTGGGTAACATGGCATGATAGGAATCTCCTGTGCTTGGGGAGGGGCAGTGGGAGATGGGACTGGCAGGGAATATGGACAATTATAAAATTCCTTTGAAAGTATTTTATAGAGTAAGGGTGTTCCTATTTCCTCTTGGGAAATTGCATTCTTCTCCTTACACAGCAGCTGAATGGAGGACGTAATTGGTTGTTTTAAGTCCAATTATATTTAACTCAGTTGAAGGTAAGGATTATGGATTTTGATATTACTTATGACAGGGTATGCATAATAAGGGCTTTGATAGAGGTTAAAACAATGGCACAAAGTACAGTGTTCTGCCCCTTGGCTAGGAAACAAGAAAGAGATGACAAAAAATGAGAAATGAGCCAATTAAATTACGCAAAAACATCATGCTTGCAAAGAAACAAAACAAAACAAAAAAATCAGGCTTTGGGGTTGTACTTCAAAGTCTAATTTTCCTTCCCCATTTAACCAGTACTCTTACCTCATTAGGATTTCCTTTAAACTATTTAGTAATTACATTACACTCAGGAAAAATAAATGAATTCAATGACTAATTTTAGGAAGGAGTTGGAACAATAGAATCTAGTTAGAGTTTGTTATTTCTGCCCTCTCAGTTTCTTCACTGGGGAAGAGTGATTCTTATTGTGCTCCTCCCCCAGCCCCAGAAAATGGTTCTATGGACTGCATTCTGCTCTTGATGGCAAAGTTAGTAACCACAGATGCAACCACATGCCGTCCAAGTGAAGAATACAGGGGCAGGTACCCGGTACTCTTAAGAGCTATAAACAAATGTCTTAAATTAAGAGATTTATTTCAAATTTTATATACACATATATATGTATATATTTTTTAAGGCAGGGTATTTTAACAAAAGGAAGTGACCTTAGATCCATTGGTTCAAACCTTTACCTGATATGCAATCCTATAAAATCCACTTTCCCAGTTTTTCTATCAAAACACCTAATTTGTTCCCTTCATAGCATTTGCCACGCGGCTGCTATCTCCCTTGTCTTTTGTGTATTTTCTGTCTTGCCCAACCAGAAAGGAAGGCACTTAAGGGCAAGGAACATTATCTTTCTGTTCACAAATACATCTTTGCAGTCAGCACAATGCTTGGAAAATCATCATCACGATGACCGTCTTCATCATGTAACTAACACTTACTGAGCAGTTAACATACTATATGTGCTTTGTATGTGTTACCTCCTCGAATATTACATGCTTGTTGAATGAATAGATTTCTTTTAAAGAAATGGCATATAATGTGGACAAGTTAGCTAAATGGTTTACTAAAGATTTCATTGGTTTTAGTTTATGGAATAAAAATTAGAGACCTTGGGGAGAAATTAGAAGGGAAAGAAGTACCACAAAAGAAGAAAAGGATAGTGATGGACAGGGCCAACAATTTTACCTGTCTTCTTCAGTTAGTCTTCTTTTTTAAAATAGCCTTATTATTTGTTTTCCTCATTATGTAAGTATGCATGCTCAATACAAACCTTCAGAAAAGTTCATTCCATTCTGGAAGCATTCCATTCATCCTCCAAGCATGAGCATCTTTTTCAGATGCTCATCTTTTTCAGAGGCCCACTTTGCAGAAAAAGGCTGCTTAGTGACAGGCCACCACCCAAGTAACAGAGATTCAGACCCTTAGTGGTGGCTCAATAAATGCACTGATGATTAATCTAAAGCTGCTGCCCAGAGGGAGCTGATTTTTCATTGAACCAAATTTCAAATCAATATATTACATTTCTTTCTTAAGAACTGCATAGATTAAAAATTAAAGGGCAAATTAAAAGTTAGCAAACTCCTTGCTGGCATGTATTGATTCTCAAATATTAAGGCATAAAATAGAATCAACTGAGTTTATCACAATGGAAAATTAACATGTCCAACTAGCCTCAAAAGCACAAGGATTTCCCAATTTCTGAGTGGTTTAAAAATATGTACCTGTTTTAAAAGGCTCATTAATAAGTATGTAATACCAGCAAACTAATGTTCAGGTACTGTTACCTAGTATTGTCTCTGCCATTCTTGATTGTTGAAGGAGGCGATAAAGCTGTGGTGTTTGAATTTCAGAACAGTGTAGAGCTATTGAATGGCAACGACACGGCCTCAGCAGGCAGCATGCCTTGTGAAGCTCTCTCTGTCTGAACCAGTCTGCCTAAGTGGTTTCCTACAGTCCACAAAATGCACACACGTGCAGTGTCTACATCACATAATTTATGTCTTGTGGCTTCTATGAGGTCTGGAAGTAGTGAGCAATCTAGGAAAGTGAGAAATCACTCAAATGCTGGAAGGAATATGGCAAAGGTAAAGCTATGGTTCAGTCTTGTTGGTTTTAGAAACAAGGATTGAGGGTCTGTGCTGGGCAAGGCTTTAGGAGTGCCTGTGAAAGGCTGAAGTCTCTGGCACCCAGGCGACATTTCTTCCTCTTGCTCTTTTTACCTCTTCCTTGCCCTTCTAGACAGTTCATGATGGGAGCATTTTTCCTGGCCACTATCTCACCTGTATTTTTTTTTCTGAGACAGAGTCTCACTCTGTTACCCTGGGTAGAGTGCAATGGTGTCCACATAGCTCACAGCAACCTCAAACTCCTGGGCTCAAGCAATCTTCCTGCCTCAGCCTCCTGAGTAGCTGGGACATTGGGTGCTAACCACCATGCCCTGCTAATTTTTTCTATTTTTAGTAGAGATGGGGTCTTGCTCTTGCTCAGCCCAGTCTCGAGCTCCTGAGCTCAAGCAATCCTACCGCCTTGGCCTCCCAGAGTGCTAGGATTACAGGTGTGAGCCACCACACCCTGCCTTTCACCTGTATCTTGAGTGCTATCCACCAAGAGTTAGCCTTCCCTTTTTGCTAGGGAACAATCAAAGCCAGTGCACTGTGGATGCATCCTTGTAAAGCTCTGGAAAGATGCAGATGCCTGATGTGTAAAACACTGTCATATCCACTTTCTTTTCTTCCTATAACAATCCTATGAAACAATTAGGGTGGGACTTGTTCTTCCTTGGGCATTATTACTTTGTCAGCAAATGTTGAATTCCAAACTCACTTTTATTTGAATTAACAGGAATCTCCTCCCTCCATTGCCCCCTTTGCAGTGCCTAATATCAAACTGGGTCATCAATAAACTCATTTATCATTAATTGCAAGAAAATTCTCTGGAGGGAATTCCCTTGCCTCCTCCCTGTGAATAATAAGAGCTCTTCAGGATAGGGACTGTTTTATTAGACTCCCCTAAAGAACCAGAAGGTCCACTCAAGAGACTTGATAGATAGAGTTTAGAAAGGTTCTCCTTAAAGGGGTATGAACAGGGCAAGAAGGGAATGGTGGGGCACCCAGGAATGAGCAGGAAGCTACCAG